ATCTTAACCCATGCAACCTTCATCATGACGGATCTAAGGACTCGGAGCTTGGGCTGGCTCTTTGCTACCTTCTATCGGGATTTTCCCCACGAGATGCGTTGCTCGTTAAGAACTATAGGCGCCACTTGTTTAATTAAACATCTGACTCACAAAGGGGAGTGCTGAATATTTCACCGATTGTAAGTGCTCAGACACCTGATTGGGGGACATTCACATTGAAATGTGGCCTTGGGTTGTTCCCTGATGAACCGAAGCTATTAAACATGGTTTAATATTTTATTTTAAGGCACCTCTGAGCTCTATAGCTATTTTTCCTGAAGCGACCTGGCCACAAATGATAGCTCAACGAAGTGGCTTATCATGTGGAAATGTACAGCAAATACTACAAGCGCATGTGTCTAAAAGTGGAGGGGAAAAACCGGAGGACCCGGAGAAAAATCCACGCGACCACGGGGAGAACATGCAAACTCCAAATATCAGAATCAGAATGTTTAACTCCAAATGTACAGGCGCCAGGTTCGGGTTTGAACCCACGACTTCCTGTACACCAGGCGAGGTGGTTAACATCTCGCCTCCGCGATGCCCTTCATTGAACCCTTTTATTGAGGCCCGGGGCACGATTTATGTCAGGTGTTTAAATATTTAGGCATATATCCGTCAGCACACCGGCCGGCATTTGAGGTGCACGGACTGTTCTCTAAATGTGTCCACGGCTTGTGTTCTCAATCCACTGCTAGAGGAGGGCCTCCCTAAGACTCTACGGATCGTAGGAATTTTATTTACGTATCGATTGATTGTCCAGTACTTTGACCACGCTGGACATCAATTCTTGATTTGAAGCTTTCGTGACTGCAAGGATTCATATTCTTAGGTTTTTTCGGTAAAGTCACGTAGGTAAAACATTAAAATTAATAAAAGTAAAATAAAATAAAAATCACGACGTTTCGGAGGCAACACAAGCTTCCGTCTTCAGGTGGAACCGTCACAGCCACGACAGCTGTATCAAGTAAATGAGAGATTACAGGAGCTACCACTCCGTTTATATAATGGTTGGAGAGGGGGGAAGGGGCAAGTGCAGCACACTTTTTATTCATATGGTAAGGTGAGGCTTAAGAGGGTGAGCCTTTGTTATGGGGAGGTACGGTTTGTGACTCAACCTGGCCTACCTAACAATAGTGTGAAAAGGAGAAACATGGTAAACCTGTAATAGTTGTCTGTCAAATAAGATTGGTCAAATAAGTGTAGTTAAATCTTTTTTGCATGGACATCGCAGGTTGGTGAATGCAGGGGGCGTACAAGCGCGGTACGAGAAAGTGCGTTGCATTGTCCTCTCCTGCGCACCACAGAAGCCCCAGGGTTCTATGAGAGAAGCTGTTTTGTGCATTGGCGGTCGCACATCCGAACGCTGTCCAGGGCCAATGCCGCTCAGCTTCCGAGAACCGGTGATGCGGGGCGCATTCTGTTTGGTTTGGTCACGGGCAAATATATGCACACCAACCCTTAATACAACACGTAGTAGGCTATCGCCACCAATATCATCCATAATAGAGGTTTTTTTGGGGGGTTAGATCGCGTAAATATATAAATGTGTCGTTAAACCCGCCACCACCCGACACAGCCAATTAGTCAAGTTTGTCACGTCAACAGAACGTGGTCAATTCGTTACTAGTACAGCACACCGGTGTGTTGGAGAGCCAAGTAAAGCGCTATAGCTCCAGTGGCTTCCTAATATCGGAAGAAAGAGCGTTCCAGACGGCCGCAGACGCGCGTCTGAACACGCGCTCGATGCGGTGACCGCCTTTGTTCGATGGCCAGCAGCCAACACGCCGCTGCTGCTGCTGCTGCTGCGAGGATGACCACCGGAGTTCGCGTGAAGGTTTATGCTCCTTGACGTGATCAGCAAGCTATTGTGCTTCATTTGCGGCAAGCACTTTGTGTGTGTGTTGTCTTGCATGGGCAGCTTATATTTGTAGCTCTTGATTGCCCTGATTGAGCTCTTTGTGTACAGAGCGGTGGCATTTTTTACACGGGGATAGTGCTTTGTGATCTTTCGATGAAAGGAGCGCGATAAATTAAAATAAATTCGAATTATTTGTCACGAGGACAAACATATGAAATCGTGCAATATTGATTGCGAGTGTCTGAATGGTGACGTTTATTTTATCTTGGTCATCTCAGTCAGTCGACTCGTGGCACCTGGGTCTGCCCCGTGACCTCCTGCCAGCGGGCGTTCGACACTTCACGTGGCCTCAAGGTGCACATGGCCTGGCACAAGCGTCGTGGTGACGTCACCGCCACTTAGTGGCGAATGGCGGTTGTTTTTGTTATTTTAAAAGACTTGGTAACATGCAATTTTATCGAAGGGAAACTGCACAAAGTAGGGAGGTAACGGTAATGTTCTGCTGCCTTTAGGCCCTAACAAAAAGCCAACGTTGTTTTGCGTTTTGTAAAAAAAAAAAAATGTTACGCCATCATTATTTATGCTCACACCGAAAAAGCCAAGACTACAACTAAGTTATGATTCTGAAGGGTCAATAGGCGAGCCAAAATAAATAGAATCACAATTGGGGACGTAGCCGACGACCGCTTCTAGAATTGCACGCAATGCTAAAATCGAAATGTCTTTTGTCCGCAAGAAAGGTTCACGTGCAGGACATTTCCATTAGCCATGATTGTATCCATGCACGTGACTCTTTTCTTTTTTCTTATTGTTATGGAAAGCAGAGCTTCTGTACAATGCAAATGCGGTTTTAACCGATGCATCATAGGGTAGGCTCTCTACGTTGAAGAAACTACGTCGGATTTTTAAAAAAATATACATTTTTGTTTAAACATTCCGCGCGGTCCATATCTATCTACGGGGTTGGAGAACGGCGAACGGTCTTCGTGGGCCGCTCCGCGCAGGGCTTTTGTTTGATCCATTATCGAGAGAGAGAGAGAGAGAATATACAGCCTGGCTGTACACGGGTGACTTTCCATTAATAGAATGAGATTTTTTTTTTACTCAAGTCGTAAACTTTCCAAAACCGTATGCTAATAACAAAAAAATACCAAAACAATAATAACAATAATTAAACAGGGACAAATGGAAGGATAAAGAACAGTTTTCCTTGCTAAACAGAAATGTGCGGGAAAACCCATCTTCTTTTTCATCATCATCATCATCGGCCATGATCGACCCACTGCTGGATAAAGGCTTCCCCAAGCCGTCACCATCTCTCATGGAGCTGCGAGGTAACAATCCACCTGACACCCTGCACACCAAGCTAATTAGTTTCGCCACTGTTCACCATCCCTGCCAGCAACAGAGCTCGCTTAATTTTAACACGGTCAATGGCTATGATACATTTATTAGCCTGCCTAGTGCAGTTGGTCTTCTTGGTTCTTTCAGTAAAGTCACGTAGAAGGGAAGTAATAAAATAATAAAAATAAAACATAATAAAATAATTCTCACGACGTTTCGGCCACAACGCAAGCAGCCGTCCTCAGGTGAACAGGTCCGTCAAGTAGACAGAGTCTGAATTGCACGCTCCAGGCTTGGAGCGACTATTTATGCTGAGATGGAGGGGCGAAGAGCGTCTTGACAAAATAATTTGTCTTCAAATGCCAACTTGAACTTTGTCCACGTGGGAAACGTGCGCGTGGTTTTTATTTTTCTTCCTTCAACATTTTCCGAAGAAAATTAAACGGAAAAAAAAAATAGTTCACCGCCAAAAGTCTAATGAGTTTTCGGGTCACACTCGTGCAGTGCAGTTTCATTATTAGTTTTAGATATACTAAAGATCAATTCGCCTCCGTCTTGGTACTGGCCTGCGCATTACGTCAAATGCCACGACATCGGTCTGCTCAATTGACAACAGGATGGGATTCAATGCGGTTGGTAGACCTGAGTGGTGGAAATTCTGCATTCCCATGGCAGTGGCCAGCCTCTGTTGGGAGACGACCGATATTGATTGGCTTCCTTCACAGTTCTTAAGTGGCACTGCTGTGATCTACAACCGGAGGGACTGATGTCACCTGACGAGCAGCACGATAGTAAAGCGACTGCCTGGACTTTTGTTGCAACCATGCTGCTGCCGCCCAAGTTCAAGTTCATATATTAGGTAGAGCCCTGTGAGCCATTCGGCTCTTGAATCGGGTGCAACCGCAACAAACAAAAAACAAAAACATGAACAAGAAAACATCTGAAAGTGAATATGTGACTGAGTGCAAACAGAATTTTTTTTTTGCCCACAGCAGCCTATAACACCTGTGTCGCGAGCACGGTCGTCGCACATTCAAGCATTGTCCAGCCCCCCGCCTGCTTAGCTTCCCACATAGTGGCGCGTTCCGGGTGGCTTGGTCACAGGCGCACGCATGTTTCGGTGTGTGTGTGCGCGTTCTGTCTCAATGCCGGTGCTTCTCGGCGTGTCGCATGCCACGACACCTCGCTTATCTCGTCAAGGAGCACAAACCATCACACCAAGCGAACTCTGGTCATCCTCGCAGCAGCAGCAAGCAGCAGCAGCAAGCAGCAGCAGCAGCAGCAGCAGCAAGCAAGCAGCAGCAGCAGCAGCAGCAAGCAAGCAGCAGCAAGCAGCAGCAGCAGCAGCAGCAAGCAAGCAGCAGCAGCAGCAGCGGCTTTTGGCTAACAATCGAACAAAGATGGCCGCCGCATCGCGCGCTTTCGGATGCGCTTCTGCGGACGTCTGGAACGCTCTTCCTTCCGATATCAGGCAACCGCTGGAGCTGTGCACTTCTAAATACAGATTGAAAGCTCATTGCTTTAGAATCGCTTTTTGTGTTTATTCAGTTGTCCTTCCCCCGCATCTCCGACTCGTGCGGTTGGCCACGTGCGGTGCCGAAAGAGATCCCACGTGCCGTACAAGAGCGAGCGTTCCAGACGGCCGCAGAATGGCACCTGAAAGCGTGCGATGCAGGAATGAAGAAACTGGATACAAACACGTGTGTGTGTATATGTGTATATATACAAAACGGAGATGGCGAGCGTCTCCACTCACGAAGTCAAAGCAGGCGTCCAGGGGGGGCCTCCACGCGTCGGCGGCGCCGTAGTGGCCCTCGCGGCCGTTGAGGCCTCCGCCGGGGTCCCCGTCCGGTTCGGCGCGCTCCGCGTACTGCAGGCAGCACGGTCGCAGGGTTTGCTCTGGCCCGGCCTCGCGGCCTGGGGCGTAAGGGGGAGATGAGCAGGGGGACGAATCACTCGGCGTGCTTCTCTCTCTCTGTCTCTCTCTCAGCTCTCGCCGGCTCGGTTTCGTCAGTGGCGTCGTCGTTATCGTTGTTGCTGGCACTCCGTTAACCCTCTTCCCGTTCCGATGACGTACGCGGATGTACGTGTACGTCATTGGAGTTTCTTCCTATTCCGTTCCGATGACGTATGTTATACACATTCAGACATTGTCCAGGCTCGCACCTGCTTAGCTTCTGAGATCGTGTTCCTATGTGTACATCACCGGCTTTTCTTCTGATTCTGTTCCGACGACCTATATATACGTGTACGTCATCGGTTTTTCTTCCGATTCTGTTCAAAATGTAACCGGAAAAAAACTAAAATAAATAACTTTATTGTTACCAAGGCTCCCACAAGGCGATGCAGTAGGGCGTGTGGCACAATTTGGCGTTACCTATCGTAGAGTGCAGTCGTGTCGCTATGGTTCTCTGCGGGGAGTACAACGTCTTTAAAAACAACAGCACTATGCCTCTCTAAATAAAATTAACACTGAGCCATTGCATTTTCCGATAATGTAGTCTGCAGCCTCAGACTAGTTTATCATCATCATAATCATCATAACTGCCACTGTTATTTTTATAATGATATTAAGCATCATTAGCATGATCACGAACAAAATCACGTGAACCACCATCATCATACTCTTTGGTTCTTTCGGTAAAGTCACGTAGGTAGAAAAATAATAGATCACGACGTTTCGATCGCAACACAAGCAATCGTCATCAGGTGGGACAACCACAGCAAGAATAAACTTTAGCAGTATGGATTCTTGGAGTCACGAAAGCTTAAAATCAACACCATCATCATAATCACTATTATCATAATCACCACCTCCACCACTAATGTCATCATCATCATTACCGCCACCATTTCCACCAGGACCATTATCATCAACATCGTCATCATGATTGGCATCACCACCATGACGAAAATCACGACCACTGTTATCACCGCTACCATCACCATCCTCGGCATCACCAGCATCATCATCACTACCACCAGCATGATTTGAATCACGAATCCGATCATCGTCACCACCACCACCACCACCATCATCAACATCATAGTCAGAATCACCACCATCATCATCATCAACATCACAGCCAGAATCACCACCACCATCGCCAATTCAATATTTTAAAAGCACGTGACCATTCTGAGCTGAGTGACTCGGATATCCACAATAGAGGTTGTTGTGGGTTAGATCGCGTCAATATATAAATGTGTCGTTAAACCCCTCCACCACCCGACACAGCCAACTAGTAAGGGTTGTCACGTAAACAGAACGTGCCAATTCGTCACTAGTACAGCACTAACCGGTGTGTTGGAGAGCCAAGCCACAACATTTACAATCTGAGCACGACGTTTCACCAGTAATTACAACCAGCTTCATCAGGCGACAGTTTGTAAATGTTGTGGGTCTTGGCTCCCTAACACACCGGTTAGTGCTGTACTAGTAACGAATTGGCACGTTCTGTTTACGTGACAACCCTTACTAGTTGGCTGTGTCGAGTGGTGGCGGGTTTTAACGACAACATTTTTACGCGAGCCAACCCAAAAAAAACCCCTATGTTACGGATGATATTGTTCGCAAAACCCTCCTACGTGTTAGACGTGGCAGCATGAAGGCAGCCTCGATGCTTAGCCCCGCACCAGAACATGATGTATGACATATAGAACAGCCATCATCATCATCATCATGGGCCGTGCTCAATCCACTGCTCGGTGAATGCCTCCACAGGGGCCGCTGCCATCTCTCACGATCCTGCGAGGCAATAAAGGTGCAGTCGTCGCCAATAATTCACTGGGTCGTGTCGTGGAGCGTGACAGCGTAAACAAACGCCAAGATTTGTTTACAGCCCTTGGAAGCTGAAAGTTGTCCGTTGTTTTTTCGTCTTTAAATGAAAATTGACGTTTGGTGAGAGAAGTTTTAGCGAAAACATCACTCTCTCTCTCTCCCACAATGCACTGCTTAGAGCGGCGCTATGGAAGGAAGTTACCGACAGCTGAATCAGCGCTCAACGTGGGAGCGCATCTCTCACTGCACGGTGAACCCAGTCCCATCGCTCCGTGGCACGGCTAAGTGCCGGTGGCGAGCGACTTGGGACATCGCCCTTCCAATACGAACTAGAACTTTTGTCTGCCCGAGACAACTTTTTTTAGTTTCACATTTTCCGAAGGAAATTTAACGGTAAATTGTTCACCGGCAAAGTCTAATGAGGGTTCAGGTAACACTCATGCAATGCTCCTTTCATTATTGGTTTTAGATATGACAAAGATCGATTCGCCCCCATCTGTGGCACGGGTTGTCACCAAGTTCGCACGTTACGTCAAATGCCATTACATACGTTTGCTCAATTAACAACAGGACAGCATTCAATGCGGGAGGCAGACCTAAACCAAGCAATAGTGGAAGTGAAAATTGACATTTGGCGAAAAAAGTTTGGCGACAACTTAACTCTCTCTTTCTCTCCCACAATGCACTGCTGCATGGTCACGGAGGAAGTAGTCGCCGATAAATTAATCAGTGCTAAACGTCGGAACGCCATCGTTTAACACCACGCCGAACAAACACAAAAAAATCAACAAAGTCAGCCAAAAATTCCGAATGTCAACAACGCTGTTTTGTAAACTCAGTCTGGAACATCGTGTCTGCAGATATGGATATACATATTGAAGGGTAGGTGATTCAATGAATGGTTGACCTTTAGCGATTGTTCACTTCCATCTGACGCAACAAACGGAATGACGGATTTCCTCCGAACGCGTTAGTTTTATTTGGCGAAGCTGTACAAGCTCAGCGCCACAATTGTAATGTGGAATTAAACGCAAGTCAAATTACGCAAAGGGAATGCACGTGGCTGAGCTAAAAGCACCTTGTGATCCTTACATTTTTAGAGACATTATTATTTTATAAGTGACTTCCAATCTTTCTGGGAGAAAGTCTCCTCCGGTAATCGAGCCGGATGTAATATATATATAGGTCATTGCTTATTTACTATCCTACATCGTTCGTAACAGTCTCGTTATTATATTCATATAAAATACATGTTTTATTAATACCCTGGCGCTGATTGGATGTCACGTGCCAAGAATTCGCGAGCGAATTAAAAATGACCGCAATGGATGATTTCACTTGGCCGTAATAATTTCACGTCGGGGTGGAAAACTGTGCCGAGGGCACGGTGTCCGCGAACGCCTTCCGACCTTGGATTGCGACCTTTGTGGAAAGGAAACTTTCTGAAAACGAGAGGCATAAGGTCAAGGTTAGTTATCGCGTTGCGTGGCGAGAGGTTAACTGGCTCACCTGGAATACAGGCGATCGTGGGTTCGATCCCCTGACCCCTGACTCCTGCTGTATATTTGGAGTTTGCGTGTCTGTCTCCCCGTGGTCGCGTGGATTTTTTTCTCCGGGTCCTCCGGGTTTTCCCTCCGCATTTGGAAACACGCGATTAGAGTATTTGGTTGCTATAAATTTCCACGCGATAAGCCACTTCGTTGAGCTATCATTTGTGGCCAGGTCGCTTCTGAAAAAGAGCTTTTAGCTCAGTGGGCCTTACCTGGTAAAAGAATAAATTGTTTTTAGATATAAGATGATGATGATGATGTTTTTAGATTTGTAAAATAGAAAAGCTCAGTTTATATCACGACCCATGTGACGTTTGTTTCGATAATGTAACCATTAATTTAACGTGAAGCGTACCCTTTGCTTTTAATAAACATTGCAATATTTCATATGTGCGGCCGTGTGTGTCGAGTATGCAGATTGAAAACTGCAAAACAAAATCTAGCCCATCGCGATTCACCACTTCCGATGATTATCCACGATTCGGGTTGATGCTGCGGGTTTTACTCTCCAACGCACCGGGCGTGCTAAACTCGTAACTCGTTGGCACCTTGTGTTTACGTGACGAACCCTTATTAATTGGCTGTGTCGGCTGGTGGCCGGTTTAACGACGCATTTATATTTAACCCAATAACACATTTATTGTGGATTTGATTCGAGACTCAATTGTGGTGAGTGTAGCGGCCTCTACTGGCTGCAGGGGTCAATCGAACCCATTAAGTGCAACAGATATCAATCGAAAACAATCGGTTCTTACGCACACGATTCGATGAACGAACAGCGAGCATATAATCTGAATGCAATGAACGAATTGATGCGTTGTTACATGCCGACTGTAAATCCATCAAGGTGACTTGTCGTTGAAAATCGACCTCAACAAAACTAAATGGAACGAAAGCTGAAAAGTGGACGGAGATGCATGGCTAGATGCATGCTGCAAATACACCGAGAGACACAGAGAAAGGAATACATGGATCAAAGAACAATACGAACATTCGATACATCATATTGACAGCTGCGAAAAGTAATTGGGCCAGGACTGGATAGGTTTCTGTAACGGACGGTGGGCCTACGGAGGAGACCGAAGATGGAACAGCTGCAAAAAGGGGTGAGAAAATGAACGGGCCCCAAGATTCGCGATCACCACGCAGACAGACGGAGTTACGGGATCGGCGCGCTGAATTCGAGGCGTCGCAAAGACGCCGTGGGGTTGGCAACGACGTGGGAAGACCTCTGTTCGGCGGTGAACTTAGAATCAGAATACGTATTTGTGCTGGAGGAATCCGACGAGCTATGAAGCTCGTCGTTGTGTTGCAGTCGAAACGTCGTGAGAATCTTTGTTAAATATTTTTATTATTTTATTATTTCCCTTCTACGTGACTTTACCGAAAGAACCAAGAATACGAGCTATGAAGCTTTCTTCACAGATGTCCAGCAGTGTATGGGGCACGGCTAACGATGAACTTGCCGCTGGTTTCTTTTTTTTGTTTAAATAAATTCCGGCCCATCGTGAGGTCCGCGTGACTCAGGTCATCCAGAAGCGTGCGTAGCGTCGCGGTGACCGATGAGGCGCGCGGTCACAGAGCCG